CCTTTTCATCCCAAGTATCACTATAGTAACCTTTCTCTGAAACCTTTTCATCCCAAGTATCACTATAGTAACCCTTCTCTGAAACCTTTTCATCCCAAGTATCATCCTAGTAACCCTTCTCTGAAACCTTTTCATCCCAAGTATCATCCTAGTAACCCTTCTCTGAAACCTTTTCATCCCAAGTATCATCCTAGTAACCTTTCTCTGAAACATTTTCAACAAATCAATGTCCTTCCTAATGTAAGAAGCCCAAGACTGAACACAGTACTTCGAATGTGGCCTAACTAATGATCAATACAATGAAATGATAACATCAAATACACCTAAATTGTGTTTACAAGAACTCCTTTCGACTAAGAAACTTCTTGTCGTTCAAAGACAAAATCAATGAAATGCAGCAATCTCTTGTCGTTTATATATATTTATTACATATTATGGAATGTGGTCTCAAATGTTACCTAAAAATATATAAAAAGGAGAACCGTTTATAAATTATTCAAAGTTTTCTGAACTTTTTCGACAAAAATATCTTATAGACGTGAATAAGTTTTTTTTTTACTTATGGTAATTATTAGCCATCGTTAGTTTAAGGAACTATTCATCGAAAAATGTTTCAATTTACTGTGTCAACTCTACAGATAGGTTCAGATTGTTGCCCCTACGGTCGCTGTAAACTCTACAGATAGGTTCAGATTGTTGCCCCTACGGTCGCTGTCAACTCTACATATAGATTCAGCTTGTTGCCCCTATGGTCGCTGTCAACTCTACAGATAGATTCAGCTTGTTGTCCCTACGGTCGCTGTCAACTCTACAGATAGATTCAGCTTGTTGCACCTACGGTCGCTGTCAACTCTACAGATAGATTCAGCTTGTTGCACCTACAGTCGCTGTCAACTCTACAGATAGGTTCAGATTGTTGCCCCTACGGTCGCTGTCAACTCTACAGATAGGTTCAGATTGTTGCCCCTACGGTCGCTGTCAACTCTACAGATAGATTCAGCTTGTTGCCCCTACGGTCGCTGTCAACTCTACAGACAGATTCAGCTTGTTGCACCTACGGTCGCTGTCAACTCTACATATAGATTCAGCTTGTTGCCCCTACGGTCGCTGTCAACTCTACATATAGATTCAGCTTGTTGCACCTACGGTCGCTGTCAACTCTACATATAGATTCAGCTGTAAACTCTACAGACAGGTTCACCCTGTTGCCCCTACGGTCGCTAGTAATACCCTGAAGAAAAGTAACAATCCATACCTACATATACGTTATTTACTTGTTTAGTTTCTTTGTTATTAAGCACAAAGCTATACCATGGGCTACCTGTGCTGTGCCCATCACGAGTATCTAAACCTTCTTTTTAGCATTATGAGTCTTACCGCTAAGCCACTTGTGGGGGGTGGGGCAACAAAATACTTGTCGATGCTTTGCTTATAAATTTACTACACTGATGCCCTACAGTTAAGTTAACTGAAGGTTTTAAGATCCTTCACACTGGCGAGGGATACTATATTTAAGAAATAAATAAAAACTACATACGATAATAATAAAATGAGGATCACAACAAAAAAGAAAATGTTGACCAGGCGCTTCTTCTCTTACTCTAAGACTTACCGGTTGAACTTTCCCACAAGGTTTAATGTTGACTAGAGAGCAATGCTTGTAACGCCGCCATATTAAACTTTCAAAATGTTATTTTTGTTTTGATTCAATATCAACTAGAGTGGAAAATAGGATAATAGATTTAATTTTCATAAACGTGATTAGAACCTCAAATTAGCTACTGAAATGGTGCTACATCCTAAGATCATAAATTTCGTAAAAGAAGCTACCTTTTGTTAATATTTTACAACAAAGTTCATAAACCAATTTTTATAAACTATTTCTTGACTATAAATATATGTAATGTACTTAGTTTGCTTCGTTGATATTTTACTAATAGATTAACGTACTTCAAACGTCTAATTTCTATCATCACAAAGAAACTTAACTCAGTTGTAGCATCCTGGATTACAAAATAAAGCGTAATATCCTTAAGGGTAATATAATACTGATCTAGAAACATACTACATATCCAAGCGAGGTAGATTTTCGATATTATTAATTCGACATTTTATGACATTGAAAAGAAACTTACCTTCTAACAAACTGGTGTCTTCTTCAGAAAGTCTTCTTCTTGAGTTTTGTGTTTCGAAATCTGAAAATACTTAGAGTTAAATATATCACTTTGTTATAATATATAACAATGAAAAGTAAGTAGCACTTTTTTAAAGGTTCACAAGAACCTACAACAATGAAACTGTTAATTGCATCGCAATAATAGAAAAGCATGTTTGTAATTTAGACACATTTGGGGGTTGGTGTAATGATAGCATCAAGAGCATGTTGGTAACTCAGACACATTGGGGGTTTGGTGTAATGATAGCATCAAGAGCATGTTGGTAACTCAGACACATTGGGGGTTTGGTGTAATAATAGTATCAAGAGCATGTTGGTAACTCAGACACATTGGGGGTTTGGTGTAATGATAGTATCAAGAGAATGTTGGTAACTCAGACACATTAGGGGTTTGGTGTAATAATAGTATCAAGAGCATGTTGGTAACTCAGACACATTAGAGGTTTGGTGTAATAACAGTATCAAGAGCATGTTGGTAACTCAGACACATTGGGGGTTTGGTGTAATGATAGTATCAAGAGCATGTTGGTAACTCAGACACATTAGGGGTTTGGTGTAATGATACTATCAAGAGCATGTTGGTAACTCAGACACATTAGGGGTTTGGTGTAATAATAGTATGAAAAGCATGTTGGTAACTCAGGACATTAGGGGTTTGGTGTAATAATAGTATCAAGAGCATGTTGGTAACTCAGAACATTAGTGGTTGGTGTAATAATAGTATCAAGAGCATGTTGGTAACTCACAAACATAAGGGGTTTGGTGTAATAATAGTGAGTTACCAACATGCTCTTGATACCAAACATAAGGGGGTTGGTGTAATAATAGTATCAAGAGCATGTTGGTAACTCACAAACATAAGGGGTTTGGTGTAATAATAGTATCAAGAGCATGTTGGTAACTCAGACACATTAGGGGTTTGGTGTAATAACAGTATCAAGAGCATGTTGGTAACTCAGAACATTAGTGGTTGGTGTAATAATAGTATCAAGAGCATGTTGGTAACTCACAAACATAAGGGGTTTGGTGTAATAATAGTATCAAGAGCATGTTGGTAACTCAGACACA